ATAGGGTGATAGCCGGCCATACTGATAAACAAGGGTTTGAAACCCCTTAGCCACACTTTCATATTTTATTTTTTTCTCTACCGATCAAAAAGCGGAAAATTCAGGGTTAAGTCTCTAAATTTCCCACAAATTCAAAATCGAGCTGCAAACTTCTAAAACTTGCAATTTAGTCCATAAATTAACTAAATTAATTTTATAATTTATAATTTGAAATGGGGGTGTAACAACGTGGTTCCTTGAATTCTCCACACTGGGTGCGACGAGTTAGAGCTATTGGACTTGAAAGGAAACAAGATTGATGGTAAAGCAAAACGTTTCGAACTGCAAAAAATTTTAGTTTTTGGATCTTTCATCGAACAATTTTTCAGTTGGGATTCCTTCATTCGGAGGCTTCTCGGTCTTGGAACATATTGATATCTTCTGCAACAATTTCTTTGGCGATATAACTAGGGCAATTTCTTCATGTATGAACATTAATTTCTTGAATCTATCGAGCAATCAAAAATTTCAGTCAGATTTCAGCTTTGCCAACTTCTAATTGGCAGTATATTTTTTTAGCTGAAAACAATTTTTAAGGGGAGATTCCTTTGTATCTCACTCAAGCTTGTTCAAATCTTGTTGAACTCGATCTCTCTTATAATAATCTCTCTGGGTTGATTCCTAGTAGCTTTGGTTCTTGCAGTTCTTTGGAATCATTCAATGTGTCTAGCAACAATTTTACAGATAAAATCCCCGTTGAAATATTCCAGAATATGAGTTCATTGAAGGAGTTTGGTTTAGCTTTTAATTATTGCTATGGTCCACTGCTATCTACTCTTTCAGGATTTTGGATATCAATTCAAACAACATTTTAGGGTTAATTCATGTTTCTTTATACGATAATTAGGGAAACAGGTTGCATGGGTCGACATCCCAACTGCACCGGATTGACTTCCCATGGACATGCTTCGATTTTTAAAAAATAAATAGTTAGGTGATCAAAATAGAATTATATGAATAGTTGAGTAATTAAATATATAATTTACCTGTGTATTTTTTAACGGAAATACCGATTTAAGACAAATGAGGTAATGAATTAAACTTTAGGGGGCAAAACATTCTGAAAAATATTTTAAAGAGCAACTCGGTATAAATGGTATAGTTTAGGGGCAATGGTGCATTTAAACCTTAAGAAAAAGGCTTAATTGCAAGATAAGTATCCGAATTATGTTTTTTTTAGGTTGCATAATTTTTAGGGTAAACTATTTATTTAGCTACCCACCTATCACTTTATTTTTCTTTTGATCATCTAACTATAATTTCTTACAAACTCATACATAACAAATTCTGACATCGCATTTTTAATTAGTATTTTAATAATTTATATTTTAATTATATTTTATAATTTATTAAAGGTTAAAAATCCTTTCTAAAAGATTATAAGTTTGTAAGTCTTTAAAAAGATTTTATAAAATCTAAATGACTAAGATATATATCAAGTTTTAAAAAAACATAAATTTTTGAATTACATTGTTTTATATTTGTAATTAGTTGTTTGAGATCATGTGTGACGCATGAGATAACACTACGAACATTTGAGAATTTTTTACTAATAGTCATGTGTGATGCTAGATATAACACTACAGATATCTGATATTATTTGACTAGCGGCCATGAGTAACAAGATACTATCTAGGTACTTGATTATTTAAGCACGTGTACAATCTAACAAATTTAACAAGTTTTATATACAAGTGATTTGATCATGTTGATTATGATGACTCATGATTATGGGTGATTAATGAGTTGAGCAACTCGTGAGTAATTCGAATTTGACTCGGTAAAAACTCGATTAAGGTTGACTCAACTCGAGACCTTAACGAGTTGAGTCGAGTAAAGTCTAACTCGACTCGATAAGTTCGCGAGCAACTTGTTAATTTGTTTATATAATTTTTTAGTAGTTTATCTTAAAATTTTATTTCATTCAAAAAAATTACTAATTTACCAATTGATAATAAAAAAGATGAAAAATTATTAATCTATTAATTTTCTAATAAACAATAAAAAATACTAATTTATTAATTAATATTTTACTACACTCAAACATCAAACCCTATTTATTATTTTAATGTATTTGTGGATTGTTACTTTGGAATTTAGATTTTGAAATTGTTTCATAAACTCTTTTGATAATTTTTTGGTTAAATTTATTAATATATATTTATATTAAGCTTTTATAGTATTAGTAGATTTTACGTATAGTAAATAAAATAAGGTAAAAATTTCGGTGAGCTTAACGAGCAATGAGCATTGAGCTTAACGAGCAATGAGCTTAACAAACAGCGAGTCGAGCAACCAATTTTTTTAACGAGCACGAGTCGAGCAAAATTTTAACGAGCTTAATGAGAAACGAATCAAATCGAGCAACAATTTTTTTAATGAGCACGAGTCGAGCACTGCTCAACTCGAGATCGGCTCGCTCGATAAGCACCCTAATAATGATTAGAATGTTCGATACTCATATCATGATTCTATGTGTATATTCGATTTGCATGTTCATATTTGTGAATTATTTGAAGTATGGTTGATTAGTTTTGTACCATTGAGCTTGAAAAGCTAGTGTTCAAATTATTTCTATTTTCATATCAGTATACTTTTGTTCGAGCCCAATGAGCATCATCGACGAAGGACTTCAAATATCTCAATCATAGAGTACAATAACTTATATGTTAGTGGGGATTGTATTTATAAGGCCTGGCTTATACTTTGGCTCTATAACTCATTTATTGTTTTGGATATTTTATTATTTTGATATACACTTATATTGGAGCTCAACGTATTTTTTATAACTACTTTTATTACTTTTTAGTATAACTATTTGATAATATTTTCTCATATATGAAATATTGTTAATGTTTAAAATAATAATAATAAATAATTGGGTACTCTGGTGACCTGAAAGTAGCATTCTGGTCTTTGGACATTTTGTATTTGTGATTAGGGTGTTACACATATGAGGAGATTAGAGTATTAGCACGTCGAATCTTTAGATTGTTTTTTGTCGATTTTGATCGGGTTTTGTAGAAAATCAATCTGATGAGGAAAAAGAGGAGTGAAATGTGAGCATTTTAATATCTTGCCATGAATGACGACCAATGATAGGCAACGATTAGTTTCCAGTGATGATCGGAAAAAATTCAGTGTTAAAAACTATTTTTTTTAAAAACGTTAATGGTAAAATCGATACACGCTTAAAGTTCAATGCTTAAAAGGACATTATTTTGGGTAGGGGTGAGCATTCGATCGAGTCGAGTCAAAATTTTTTGAGTTATTCAAGTTGACGAGTCATATTTTGTGAATTGAACTTAACTTGAAATTTTTTTCAAGTTGAGTTCAGTTCAAGAAATTTGAGTCAAGTTATTCGAGTTTCTATACAAATTTTATTATAATTATTTATATTATTATGGTAAGGATTGATTCTAATTTTTTGATTTTCTCTAACTATATAAGATATATATATGTATATATTATTTCTTCATATTCTTTAAACAATATAATGTTATTTAATATATCAAATACAATCTAAAATTATAAAATATATTTACAATATTATATTTTTAAAAAGATATTTTGAGAGTAAAGTATTGATGAGAGTATAAAAGAGTTAAGGAATTGACGGAAAGAAATAATTTGAAAACAATTGCAATCAAAAGATCAAATTGAGTGAAATGCAAAGTTAAGGGACTAAATAAAAAAGAGAGTATATTTTAGTAAAAAATAAGAATTGAAGTTACATAAGTATTCTATAGTGGTATAGGAGCATGTGATTCAAATTTGATAAAAAAAGACTTAAAATGAAGGATGAATTGAAGAAATAAAGAAATCATAAAAAGTTGAGGGACTAAATTGAAAAAAATGTTATAAAAAAGAGGAATTAAAAGCACATAAGTATTCTACGATGGTTTAGGAGCATGTGGTTCAAATTTAGTAAACAATACACTTAAAATGAAGGATGAATTGAAAGAATAAGGAAATTAGGGACTAAATCGTAAAACTATCAAAATAGTTAGTCAAATTTTAAGTTTTTTGAGTAACTCAAAATTTCAACTCAAAAACCGAATTAATAAATTGAGTTGACTCAAATAACTCAAAATTGAAAAAAATGATTTTTTTAGCCGAGTCGAGTTTTACTCACCCCTAGTTTTAGGCATTTAAGGTCTTGTCAAAATGACGACATTTTATCTGCATCATCACAGTGACAAAAAGATTTATCCATATCATTGAGTCATTAAATTTAATGGTCCAATTATGACTAATCTAGAAGACAACATGATTGGGAAAATTCCCTCGTCCTCGCAAGGAAACCTTATCGAAAAACAAAACCTATTCGGAACCTTTGGGGGAAGACCGCCGGAGGAGAAGACAGAGATCAATTTACAACCAGCTTTAGAAAGAACCGGATATCAGGTGAATCTAAAAGAACAAGGAAGTCCAAAGAAAACCAAGAACACAAAGGATGGAAAAATCAACGATAGTGCTACAGAAACAGAAGAGATGGAGACCGATAATATATCAGAGAGAGAGATATGACCGAAGCATCCGACATGAATGAAGTAGAAGAAATTGAAAGCGCAAAACAAAAAGAAACAGAGATAAGAGGAAAGGCAACTTACGCAAGCATGGTAGTCAACACATCTAGAGCAAGGAAACCGCTAAATACAAGATGTGGTATTAACGATGATGAAATTGTAGTATTGGAGGACTACGTTATCGACAAATCGGGTGTTTTCCCAACAATTAGATTCTCGGAAAAAGTTCATGATCAAATTGATAAAAACATGAGGAATTTCATCATCGTTCGGCTGTTAGGACGGATGATAGGATACAAAGCACTGCTAAATCAGATCCAAGCACTATGGAAACCAATTGGAGAAATACAACTCATCGACCTAGAAAACAAACTATTTCTTAGTCAAATTTGCAGATGAAGATGACTATACAAAGGTATTAACAGAAGGGCCATGGACAATATATGGATCAGGCTACCAGGACTACCTTATAGATACTACACAAAAGCACTTTTTCGACTAATTGCTTCAGTAGTCGGACAAGTAATTAAAGTAGATTATAACACTCAGGCGGGGGAAAGAGGTAAGTTTGCAAGAATTACAGTTTTAGTAGATCTAAACCAACCACTAATTCCTTGTATTGGAATAGATGGATTCACACAAAAATTAGAATACGAGAGATCACAACAGATTTGCTTCCATTGTGGGGTTTATGGGCATACAAGAGAGCAATGTGCAGCATATCAAGTACATATAGAATCTAAACGCGAGGAAGAGCTTAACGAAAGGAACAAAAACAACCACAACCTTGCAACAACATCAGAAGAAACACTGTTTGGACCATGGATGGTGGTGGAAAATCGTCGAAGGAAAACAACGACGACACAAAAGACTGAGAAAGACAATATGAAACAAAAGGCTGGTATAGAGGGCTCTCGTTTCACTATATTGAGCGAAGATGAGAATGGTCACATGGCTGAAATAAAAACAGGGACAGATGATAAAGAAGATAATGAGAACAAAAACAAACCAGTAAATAGAGAAACAACAAAAAGGAACTCACCAGATCATCAAACAAGGGGAACAAATCTCAACATGAATAACATGGTACCAAAACAAGCAAAGAAAATGCACGAATCGGACAGTATAAAAAACGCAATAGAAGTAATCCAAATGATAGAAGGACAGAACATGGAAACAGTGGAACATATAACCACAGCATGGAACGGAAACCACACAGCTATAACCATAAAAGAACCAAGCATGGGGAAAAAATGCACGAGACTAAATTCCCAAAAGGATGAGAAGAAGCTGGAAGGATAAGAAAAGAAAACAATGTGAAAGGGTTGAAAGTAAAAAAAACAACTTTTCACCCTACAAATCATATCTTGATCAAAGAGTGGGTAAATGTAACCCCTAGACTCGGCCTATGCGTTTCGACTAAGTCTAGTGGATCACATACATGATTCATAAAGATATTTTCTGAAACCGTTATTCAATCAATGTAAAATCACATTATAAATATCATGAAATAAATTATACTATCAAAACCCAACTTGTAAATATAATACCAATAAGTAATAAATTAATTTAAAACAGGTCTTCAAAATCAAAATCATGATAAACCAAACACTAATAGCAAAAGTGTCATCATCATAAAATACAATACTTTAAAATAAGATCCATGTCACCAAAATAAAGTCAACTTGCAAGATAAAACATTACAATCAGATATACTTCAAGAGATATGTTGATCCTCCAAGTGCTCGAACCGAGATATCTAACCAACAATATCTGAAAGGGAAAAAAACATTTTCGAAAGGTGAGCTAGGCTCAGTGTGTCCCAATATTACCTTAAAATCACAATAGGTACATTAAACAAATCATAGTTTAGTAAATCTCATAAATTCATAAAAGAGTTTAACTTTTGAAAATCATAGTTTAAACCCTTTTCTTGTACACTATCAGTAGTTCCCAAAACTATTTTCCATATAGCTTACTTTAAGCACACAGCAAAAAGAAAGCCAACCTAAGGATAAGCTTTAGAGCTTGTATCCTTAGGCCCGTAAGTCCAAGTCCATATAGCTTACCCTAAGCACACAGCAAGGGAAGCCAACCTAATGTATCTTGGGGCCCCAAGAGTCATATTAGGCCCATTCTGTTTATTAGCTTGATCAGAGCTATACTATTGTAATTCAATCCAAAAGTTCAATTGCACCGTGACACAAATTCCATAAATCATCACATTAAATTGGTGCATCAATAAAACAGTAACCAAAGAACTCAGTTTACCTCATATTAAAACCAATAAAATAGTTCAGTAATAATTAGGGAACACACCTCGATAATAGGTTCAAATAGTAGATTTACTGATTGCTGATTTCACCACGCTCTGCTACAGTTTTCGAACCTATTTTATAATAACACTATATTACTTATGGGTAACATAAATAAATCTCTAAAATCATAAATTTTACGGGTCTTACGGGTGAATACTGGCACACGTGGTTTAATTGATCTAGAAGAGCTGGGTCGAGCTATCGAACGATCCTGAGAGTCTCTTGTACCTTCAAACAATAATAATTTATCAGCTCCAAATCTTACTTAATTGTTCAAAGCTAAAATTCTTAAGTATATAAGCATTTTTAGGGTTTGACTATCAATTTGGAGGATTTCGGGTTTGAATTTGGCCAAACGGATTGTCGAATCGGAATCAAGACGTCGAAAAACATAAAGTATGTCTTTTCAAAAATTTAAATTCTTGGTCAAAGTCAAAGTCAACCACTTTGACCGTCGATTTGGAGGCCTTCGGGTTCGAATTTGACGAAACATACTTCGGAAACGGATTTGGGACGTCGAAAATGATCAGAATAGGTATACTCGGAAAAGATTAACGGTCGTTTAATGGTCGGTCAAAGCCATTTTAAGTTTTGGTCAAAGGAAGTCAATGGTCAACAGTCAACGATCGGGTCGGGTCGGTCGGATCGGGTCAGACCGGTCAAACCGGTGTGAACCGGTCGAAACCAGTCAAACCGGTTTTTAGCCACTCACTCTCCCTGCGGCGGCGCGTGTGGCGCGTGAGGCCTCCTCCGGGGGTCTAAAAATTACGGAAAAATTTCTAAAAATTATTTTGAGCGATTTCGAGATACTTACAAAGATCGGTTCAAATTTTTGAACGGCGGAGAGTTTGATTTCAACTCGGCCGAATCTTTGACTGCTTCACCTCCTCACGCGCCGCCGTCGACGGATACCAAGGTTGACACCGGTGGACTCGAAACGGCACAAGGAACACGTTGGTGCGGGAGGTGTCGAAAACCGATCAACGATCGAAGATGAATTTAAGATTTTCTCGGCGGTAGTGCTAAAAAAACGTCGAGACTTTGACTCGAAATTCACATCGTTTGGCAGCGTTTCGCTATAATTGATTTACTGGGTTTTGTTCACTGGTCAAAGATGAACAAGATGGTGGTTTCAATTTGACGGTCGGAGGTCGGACGGCGTTGGAATCAGGCTTTGAAGTAGAGTGCGGGAGGAGGAATTTCACAATCGTTTTCTGTTTTGAAAACAGAAAACCATACATACGTATATATCAAATTTCCTGCCGACACTAAAAGGAGTAATTCAGAGCTTGGTCCCTAAATTTCCTTCACTTTTAATATTGCCTACAAGTTTTGAAAACTTTTAATTTAATCCCCAAATTTCACCAAATTACACCGATTTAAATTGTTTTATTTTTTTCGGGTTGTTACAATTCTTCCCCTCTACAAGAAATTTCGTCTACCTTATGAGAATAACTGAGGAAACTGAGCCTCCATTGACTCCAATGTCTCCCAAGTAGCTTCTGAAGGGCCTCGATTACTCCATTGAACTTTGACCATTGGGATACGCCTATTCCGAAGTACTCGCTCATCTCTTTCTAAGATCTGAATGGGCTCTTCCTCATAGGATAAATCAGGTCTCAGCTCTACCTCTTCAACCTGAATGATGTGACCTGGATCTGGACGGTATCGCCTCAACATAGACACATGAAAAACATCATAAATACGACTAAGATGGGAAGGCAACTCAAGCTGATAAGCAACAGGTCCAACTTTCTTCAGAATATGATACGACCCAATAAATCACGGACTCAGTTTACCCTTGCGTCCAAATCTCAATTCTTTCTTCCATGGAGATACCTTGAGAAAAACCTGATCTTGAACATCAAACTGTATATCATTTCTCCTTTGATCTGCATAAGATTTCTGCCTATCAAATGTCTCTTTCAAACGGTCACGGATCAATCTGACTGTGTCCTCTATCTCTCGCACTAACTCAGGTCCCAAAGTCTTCCTATCACGCAACTCAGTCCAACAAATCGGGGTGTGACACTTACGCCCATAGAGCGCTTCATAGGGTGCCATACAAATGCTGGTCTGGTAACTGTTATTATAAGTGAATTCAGCCAAAGGCAAAAAGTTCACCCAGCTACCATGAAAATCAATTACACAACCCCGTAACATATCCTCCAGAATCTGAATTACTCTCTATGATTGACCATCAGTTTGTGGGTGGAAGGAGGTACTATAATCCAATCTTGTACCCAAAGCCGTATGTAGCGCCTTCCAAAATCTCGAAGTAAATCTCGGATCTCGATCTGAAATGATAGATAATGGAACACCATACAATCTAACAATCTCTGAAATATACAACCTCACCAACTTATCCAACGTATAATTTACCCGTACAGGAATGAAGTGAGCTGACTTTGTAAGTCTGTCAATAATTACCCAAATTGAGTCCTTTTTCGAAGGAGTCATAGGTAAACCAGTAACAAAATCCATAGTAATACGCTCCCATTTCCATTCAGGAATCTTGATAGGTTGTAACAAACCTGATGGATGTTGATGTTCCGCCTTAACTTGCTGACAAGTCAAACACCTCGCCATAAAATTCGAGATGTCCTTCTTCATGCCGACCCAATGATACCTCTCTCTCAAATTCCGATACATCTTATCTCCACCGGGGTACATAGCACATGGACTACTATGAGCCTCCGTAAGGATAGTCTGCCTCAACTCAGCATCATCCGGCATACAATATCAACCTTTGAAGCATAAAACTTCATCCTGATCAAGGGCGTAATCTGAGCTTGTCCCTTGCTCTACTTGCTCAAAGATGGAGAGCAAGGAGCTATCAAGGGGCTGCTTAGTTTTGATCTTATCAACCAAGGTCGGCTTAACTTGTAATTCTGCTAACAGAGTGCCATCGTCATATAAATTCATCCTGGCCATTAAAGATCTCAACTCTGTTACCACCTTTCGACTCAAAGCATCCGCTACAATATTAGCTTTACCAGGGTGATAATCAATCACGCAATCATAATCCTTTAGAAGCTCTAGCCAGCGTCGTTGTCTCAAATTAAGCTCATTCTGTGTCAGAAGATACTTTAAACTCTTATGATCCGTGAAAATGTAACACTTCTCTCCATAAAGATAGTGTCTCCAAATCTTCAAGGCAAAAATTACTGCTGCTAACTCCAAATCATGAGTAGGATAATTACACTCATGCGGTCGCAGCTGACGGGATGCATAAGCTACCACCTTACTTTCCTGCATTAGAACACAGCCGAGTCTTGAGTGTGACGCATCACTATACACTGTAAAATCCTTCCCGGACTCTGGTTGAATCAATACTGGTGCTTGAGTTAATACCGCCTTTAATTTCTCAAAGCTCTCCTGTTGTGCCTCACCCCAGTCAAACGGCACATTCTTCCTTAACAACTTTGTCAAATGAGAAGCAATGATCGAAAAGCCCTCAACAAAACGTCGATAATAACCAGCCAAGCCCAAGAAACTGCGAATCTCAGAGATATTCTTGGGTCGTTTCCAATTCACAATAGCTTCAATCTTGCTTGGATCGACCTGAATACCTCGCACAAAAATAATATGCCCCAGAAACGACACTTCTTGAAGCCAAAACTCACACTTGCTTAGTTTGGCATATAGATGATGCTCTCTCAAAGTCCGCAGAACGATATTCAAATGCTCGTCATTCTCTGCCTCAGTACGAGAATATATCAGAATATCATCAATAAAGACCACCACCAATTGATCCAAATATGGTCGCGACACCCGATTCATCAAATCCATGAAAGCTGCAGGAGCATTCATCAAACCAAAAGGCATCACTAAGAATTTATAATGACCATATCTAGTGCGAATGGCCGTCTTTGCAACATCAGATCCTTTAACTTTCAATTGACAATACCCCAAACGAAGATCAATCTTAGAGAATACAGTAGCTCCTCGCAACTGATCAAATAAGTCATCAATCCTGGGTAG